ATCTTAGTCTCTTGCGTGCCAACCAACAAATGTTGTGGTACTGCTTTTTTTTATTAGGTTCAACCTTTGTGGGTTGGCACACATGAGACTAGGGCAGTGATTCCCAAACTGTGCGCCGACGCGCCCCGGGGAGTCGCGGCCTTTTTACAGGGGCGCCGTGAAATATTGTAAAAGCTTCAATTTGAGAAAATGTGTAGTGATTTGCAGCCTCATCCATCACATTAATTGTTCAATATGAATTTAATGTCGATCCTTACCAAGTTGTGAAAAAAAGTTAAACAACTTCTATACAACGAAAGGAAACCGCGATCATACAAAAGGACATACTATCCTGGTCTTTATATCTTTGATGAAAAATTAAAGTCTATCATCGATCAGAACCCACACTTGTAAGGCATGGAATAGTGAAATTCACGGGATAATTTATACTTTCTCGTTCTTATTGTTTTTTAAAATCTCTCACTCGCACTTTCACGCACTATAAGTTTTATTCCAACTATCAGTAATTCTTGAATTAAAGCTTAGTCACACTAATTATTTTAGGATTTTTTAACCACTGTTTATGTAGATTTTCTTACAATGATATAAGTAGACCTTGTGTTGCAATTTAATTTTACTTAGCATTGCCTCTTCAAAAGGGTCTATCATCCAAGTTAGTCTGCGGTTTATACGTCGCAAAGTAAATGGATACTTGCTTGTACGAATCTTGGCGATTCTTTGCTTCTCTACTGCACAACGATTCGTACTATTAGTTCACAGGGCCAAGTGACTTTCAAGGTAAGCCAGGCCTCTTTCGACTCACATATATAGTGGGATTGCTGATAAGACAGAAATGTATTTGCCATTATAATCCATTATGTTATTTATTTTCGCTTAAGTTTGTTTCTAGACTCATTAGTTTTTGAATAAGCCCTTAGCAGTAAGTTATCATAAGATTGGAAAGGATACGTATTAGGGCACTGATGAGACCTAAGTGGGGTGGAAAATATTGTTTAACCTGGATTTGGAACCATTTTGTTGACAAGGCTAAGTGAGATTTGGTGAGTTGCCAAACTCCAGTGTCCTGTCCTGATTAGCCTTCTCACTACGTTCTTTTCTTATTAGTCTGAAATATTGTTGGAGAGACTTTCATTTCGTATGAAAGTGCATGGAGAAGACATTCGAAGTTGGATCTCATCAGAAGGCGACTTCTGATTCGCTTTGTACTGATGCCGTTTTCCTTATTACATCATTCAGATTAATGCAGTCCACGAGGCATCCTCCATCGTTTCAGGTGAAAACGAGTTGAACTTTCGCCATCATATGATGGACGTTATCAGAGCTGAAACTATATTGGCGAAACAGGGAGAAAAAATGTCATACGAATCAAAGAATATCACAGGCTCTGCATGAAAATAGATACCGAAAGATCAGAATTAGCGGAACAAATCGCATAGACTGGACAGGAGATCAATCGGAAGGCAACGGAAAGAAGGACCTTATACGGTGACAGCACTAGGAAGCGGAACATTAGGGAGGCCATTGACATCCTTGGTGAGAAAAATCTAATGAACGGTAGATTGGAGGAAGGCAGAATTAGCTATAGCTTTGCCTACTGTTTAAGCAAACTCACGGAAAACAAGAATACAGCAATACCAGCAAAAAGAAGACGCTTGGATCAAGGATCTATCGCTAACCCGAGGAAAAGGGATCACGATGAGAAAAAAAGAGAGGCATTTTGGAAATCAAACGAAGATATTCTCAGTGAGTGACGTCTGCTCGAAATAACTATTACACCTTTGGGGGCCTGATACTACGCGACGGATTAGCACAACCGCCATATAATTTTGTCATTATGGCTAAAATGTACTAGAAATCCACTTGAAATACCGCAGACCGGGGATAGGCTTCTACAGTTAGCTTAGGTAACACGAGTTTATTCAAGGAGACGACTCGAAAAGGTAATACCTAATATCTGCAAGCATGGGAATCAGGGCCTAGGCGGTCTTTCGGTTAGGCGGCAGTGTACATGCTTCTAAGACTGAGAAATAGCGCCTGGATCAAAACGCACACTGGGACTGGAATCGGGTAAAATCGGTCAACCATAAAGATAAGAAACGGATATACGGGAACATGACGAAGATCCTGACACGAGGCCCGAGTCAGATTAGCCGATCGAAATAGAGGGTCCAAATTGAATAGCAGGGGTCATGAGGCCACACTAAACCTGCCAAAAAAAGACACCTTTTTACGAGTGGAATGCAAACAAGTCAGAAGTTGTAATAAGGCGGGAGTTTGATAAGAGGCTAAAGAGTAGATAGATGGATCAGGACAGAAAGAGGAGTGATAGTGTCGAGGGATTGACTTCATTTCTCTCTGGCGAGTTCGTAGCTTGGTGGGGAGAATCGCAAAACTAACTGATAATTCCGACTATGATGCAGGCGAAACGTCTGAGAATGTACCAAGTCCACTGTCTGATGCTGGAGGACATGACAACTACTATGGCAGAGGACTTCAGACAAGATGCATTTTACTAAATCGCCCTGACAACAAGACCAAATTGCGAAAACTAAGTCAACCCACTTGCAATTTTTAGTTTAGATGTTTTGCCTCTACTAGAAACATATTTCTGATTATAATTAATTTCACCACTTGTTTTTATCCAATAAATATGTTTTCGATTTCAAATAGGTTTCGGGAACTACTGATCGAGTCGAGTCGGTGTTACCTTAAAATTTATGCTTTCCCTTTGGATCATTTTAATTAATTGGTGATGATTCGTAATAATTCGCACAAATTTTTATTCCCGTAAATATAGTCAGAAAGCAAATTACCGTATTTCCCCATGTATAAGCCACCCTTTTTTTCCAAAATTGTCAAGCCAAAAAAAGTAGGGGGGTGGCATATATAAAGCAGGTACACGTTTTATGCGTGAAAAATGCATAAAATAATAAGTAGGAATCAACTAGTTTTTCAGCAGTATGTTTTACTTTTTTGTAAATAATTGTAAGTGATGATATGATTACGAGACGATATTCTTGACCCCATACCTGAATATTAGAAGACGATGATGTCCGGCGGCATTAAAATCAAAAATAACAACGGATATATCTCTTTATTACTCTTACACCAATGACACAAGTAAAGTGCGAGTACGCGATAGAAATGCATACATTCGGCTTCGGCCGGAATGCTTCGTTCCTCCTCTCTTTCCGATGCGTAGATTGCTGGCGGGCGCACCAATCCCCCTCCCCGGCATAAATAGTGGTGCAGCTCCGTC